GCTATAAAAAAAATGGGATTACAGTAATAATAATAAAACAATGCGTGTTAATAGCCGTTGGTTAATAACTTGACGTATAGTTAGTAAGTATTTTGTGTTTAGAAATATTAAAGTAATGAATATTGTAGAAATGTTAATATTGGTATTAGTTTTGGTTTAAATTATGAAACCAATTAACAATTATGCCGGTAACCCGTCCATATGTGATTTCCAATTGCATCTGTATTAGTAGGCTAACTGGGAGAACAAAAGTATTACCATGGAAAAGAATTCCAACTAGTGTTCCAGTTAGTTTGATACGGTTTATTTAGTTACGGGGAGATTTTCTCAACTTCATTTTTACTTGACCGTGATAGAATTTAGTAATACTACCAATACACATGAATGGTTATCAAAATAAAATTTAAATACGTGAGTGATAATTATATGAATTTTGGACAGATAGCTAGGAACAAATCGCTAAACATGAGTGTGTTCGTAAGAGACATGCTCTGGACTCAATGTTCTGATCTGCAATAGACTATTTATTTATATTTATACTTGCTGGCTGATTGGGCATACAAGTTAGTTGCAAGTATGCAGTTTATCATAAGGCGGAATAAGATTAAATTGAGATATAGTGGTTATAGGTTATTAAAATCAGTTAGGCCTGTGTCATATTACGAAGTGATGTGGTGCCGCAGGATGTATTCGGCTAAATAAGCTTTTACAAGATGATTAACAGTGAGTGATGCTCATGTGATTATCAGGAAGAACACAAGTTGTAACCAAGGGGAGTACACTCCCAACTCACGTCTATGATAATGGCTTGAACCTTAGTCAGTGTTGGGGTAAATTCGACATTGATGTTTTCAGTTTTTGCAGGAGATTTGCTCGACTGCTTATACTGATTAGTTGCATGCATGATTGTGTCGCTAAACCATCAATTAGACTGACAAGGTTTTGAGATATTTACTGAATGAGCAACTGATAGAGAAACATACTGTAATCATCTGTGATGGATGAAGATACCAAGAAAACAACACCATATAATGGTAATTATAAGTCAATTTGTTGACCGATTTCGTTAATAGTTTCATTAATTTTATCAGTCATATTACGTGATTGTCAAGTTATGACAATGCTTTATGACGATATCTTGAAACTATTACGTTTAGCTAGTTATAGTGTTGATTGAGGATTAGTCAGTGGAAAAATAGTATTGTTGCTTTAGGTGATTCGAAATCATCAGAAATAATCCGAGACGCCTAATTTAATTATAAATTTTAATTCAGAAATATTCGTTTAGTGTTAATTCTAGTAGGCTACGGAGTTTTGATTTTAAACATTTGTTTAGCCAACAGCTACCTGGGGATTTAGTTATTTTACTAGTGCAGTTGATAGTATCTAAATTTTTAATCTTATTATCTAAACTATGTTCGCATTTTAGGCTGCTAATGTGATAAACCAAGCAATAAAGCCAAATACGATTAGCAACAACGACTATGGGTTTATCGATAAATGTTAAAGGCGATTCAGATGATTTCTAAATTCAAAAGATATGAAGATATAGTAAAACGTATGTACGGGCCAGGTTAACATGCAGGTTGTTGACGTATATAAAAATTTAAAAATAATGAACATGACCAGAAAATAATTTTAAAGTTAAGACTGCTTGTGAAACTTTAGGCAGGAATATGATGCGTTATAAACCTTCCATAAGAAGTTACTGCATTTAGCTTAGTGACACTTACAAATATATGGCAAAAGCAACTGAAAAACATATACATGTTAAGTACAAAAAAAATCATCCAGTAAAATAGTTGAACTCGCCTGGATTATTTTTGAAAATTAGATTATTCAGTGGACGACATATATAACGCCATTCGTGAGGAGTAGTAATGTTCCAAAAGTATCCAGAATAAAACATGCAGTATGTCAATCACTTCCAGGGTGCTTGATGCTGTTGAGGTTTTTGGGACTCGCTCTGATCAGAACAACTGAATGAATCCAGATAATTGTGTGCCATCTAAAATGAACTTATGATTGCAGAAAACTTATAGCTGGAACTCACCGTATGTTTTTGGAGTAGTCATCCTCGTTGTTTGACAATGGAACTCGAGAATATGAAATTAGGCAGGCAGTGGTCAGAAGAAAAGATATTACAGGACAGTGCATCGTTTAAAACAGGATGAGGTGTTAAGTGAAGGAACACTGAGAATTAGATCCAGATAACTATTTAGTCCTTGATCGCATTGTTAGTCAATGTATATTTACGCTTTTTACAGGTCATATTTGCTAGAGCTTGATGTTTAAACAAGACTATGTCGCTGAAGCATGTAAATGCTATTACAGCTTGTTAACAAATCATCAAAGCTAATTAGTTAATATAGACGACCAGTTTTTATTATCGATTGAGCTAGTTTGTCATGAGGACTAATCAATATAACATTACGATAATGCATGTGAGCATTAATCAGAGGACTATTGGAATACAGGGTTAACATAAATATAAAATCGATCGAGAAAGTTGAAGTGGAAATAAGGATTAATAATAATAGGTTGCGTTTCTTTAGTTGGGCTCACCAATGTAGAATTATGGTCTACTATGATATTAGTACTGCTCTAATAATAGACCTAATCCTAAACTTGTCGATTTGTCATGATATAACTGCCTAATCTATAAGATCTTACGTGGAAGTCACACATATGAATAGAGGATATAAAGTAACACTGAGATGGAACCCGCCTGCATGGACGAGCCTTGCCACTCGATCAACTCCAGTCCATTCAGTTCATTGTTCGCGCCTTCTCCATTGTTAGGTATTTCTCCGCGTTAAATATTGAATATCTATTTTCTGAGTAGTCTCGTGTTCACAGCTTTGTGGATTGTGTGGCTATTGTCCAATGCCACTACACAACCACTAAGTTAATAGCAGAGCAATTTTGCTAGTCTGGTATAAGGACGTGCTTGAGTGGGCATGCTCCTGAGAAAGCTACCAGAAATCTAAGGTGACTAGTTATATCAAATGTCTGTTATGCCCTTTCAAAACTCCCGATGCTCGCTTCGACCATGTTCATCTGAATCTGGTGGCCAACGCCTTCGTCGAACAATGGATAGTAAACTTTGGCTGCCCTTCAACTGTTACTACAGACCGTGGACTTCAGTTCCTAATTGGGCTTTTCCGTTGTCCGACTACACTAATTTGAATCACTTGATTAGAAACAACCACTTACCGACAACAAGCAAACGCGTTGGTATAATGCTCTCACTAACAGTTAAAAACTTCACTCTCAGCTGAAAATATTTCACAGTGGACCGACGGTCTTCCACTCGTCTTACTAGGCATTCGCAATGCAGTAAAAGCTGACATTGGATACACTGCGGATCAACTCGTTTATGGAACGACATTGTGACTCCTGGAAGAATTCTCGGATCATTCATCTTATTCAATGAATATGGATCTAATTTCGTAGAAGAGCAAGCTTACAAACATCCTGCGTCTAGATAAACCTGTTTTGACTCGACCGCAATCAACTTATATTTTCGTTCAGTTTGCCTCACTATAGAGTAAACACTTTACATTGCGACTCACTTCGATGGCCTCCCGAAACGACATATGAAGGACCATTTAAAGTTCTTTGGCGTGCTCCCAAGCATTAAATCGTCGATAAGAACTGAACTAACAATAGCATCAACATTGATTGTCATACAGTCGGGTATTTACAAGTAGACCTTTATAACATTGATTTTCCTTCAGTACAATCGAACGACACGAGTCACACAATTAAAATACTTCACAAAATAATCAACAATCACGGTCACACTTCAGTGGTATCTGCCAACCGACTTAAAAGCAACGCATTATGGGAGAAGAGTAAGGTATCCAGAACATTTAAACCACTACGGCACGCAAGATACCACATAGCATCTAGTTTCGTTCCGATTTTTTTAAGTTTTAAAATTATTATACATACATTTATTTCTTTACTTCAAAAAAAGTTAACCGAATGTTTTTGTTGTCAATGTGCCTGTTTGTGTATTTTTTAAAACTCACCAGACTAAAATGTTTTCTCATTGAAATCAACACATGATTATTTTTGACACTGAAACCTACTAACTTCTTGTCTGGTAATGTGATGACTCCTGGTGTTCAGAAACCAGGACGCCTGGTGACGAATTCACCCCATCGAATCCCGAGATTTTCAAACCCAATAAGTAACTACCAAACTGACTAGAACGTCCGCAATTAAATGGCTAGACTACCGCCCATTATACGATATCGAGGATTCAGATTCATGCCAAAGCAACAACAACCAAACGCAAAGATATCCCTTGGTTTTTGATAAGATTGGGTTTAAAACCCTCTGGGCTTTAAAACGGATATTCAATAAGTTAGATACCACCATGTCCGCTTCATTATACACAACCTTAATGAAAACTAAGCTCGAGAGCTGCGTGTAGGCTGCAAGCACCTGTTTAAAAGCTGATTAAGATATCTTGGAAAAAGTACAGATGGTAGCTAATCGTGAAATCCTGGAAATTTGAGGTTTACTATGCAAAGAGCGGCTTGAGAAGCTAGACCCCTTTAAACTGTCTTATCGCAGACTAAGAGGTGATTTAATTTTGATGTATAGAATACTAAGAAATTATTTTGGACCTAACACATTCTCTCTTTTTCTTCTTATCAGATTATGACGTTTTAGAGGATATAGCAGGAGAGTATAAAAGTCAAGAACGAACAAAATACCCGTGGCATACATGTCTTCAAACCGAGTCATCAGTTCTCGGAACCTGTTACTCGAAGCAGTGGTGTTCGCACCTTCAGTTCACACATTCAAGAGAAGACTAGACACTCATAGAAGCATGCTGGGAAAGGAATAAAATAGGCCATATGCCTTCTGTCCTTACTACACAAATCTGAAATCTGACTCTGAATTATTGGACATTGCGAAAACTCTCGGTTGACCTTGGTGTTCTATCAGCGCTCTGTTGGAGTGACAAGGAACACGAGTCGAGAGTTAGTTTGTTCCATTTTTAAATAAATACTACTATCTTAAAAAATCAAGACTTCTCACTCTATGAGGCTAATTCAGACATTTAATTTAAGTTAGTTTTTGTCAAATAGCTGATTCTTTTTTAAGAGAAGTCTATGGGCTTTAGTTTCCATTTTTTATGACAAGTGTAAAGATTGAAATTAGTATAGTATTTTGGGTGAATTTATCCAGTTTCTACAAGCATTGATTTTCACATTTCATCTGATTCCAGTTTTGATGGAAAACAAAGGAGTTTATTTTCAAACGCTTGGTATCCATGTTTAAGCTGCTTATCAGATAATATTGTAGCATTTCCTGAAGGAACAAATCGTTTTTGTAAATAAACATCACTCGTTTGCTTAAAATTAGTTCAAAGTCATCCGCATTTGTTTGCTTCATTGGCTTAAGTTCAAACCGTCTTTTTTTGCAAGAGTAAAAAGTACTTCATAACTTATATCAAGCTCGTTTCTTATGTTCCCATCGAGTAGTTTTTTCTTAGGCTTCTGCCTCAATCTCATTCGTCGTAAGCGTTAATGTTTAGCACAGTAAACAGTGTCGATCTTAGTTTTAGAGCTTGAACCAATGTGGTCTGGAGCAGTTGGACTCATGATTTTACGACAGCTCCTTTAGTAGACAGCTTCAAGAAAGTACGGCGAAACTATATTTTATGGACAAACCAATCAGCTATAAAAGTATAGGTTTCGTATTTGGGTGCGAAACTCACTCGTCCATCTGGCCAAATAGCGTCTTGTCATTTTAGCTGATGTCGGTTCGTGATGAAAAACCGAAAGTCTAATTTCTAAGCATCAACTGTGAATCATAATCCTTATTCTTCAAACTGCTTTATAACCCTCATTTATCTCTAGTAAGTAGGTAGACATTCAAAAAGTCACTTTGTCGCCCAAATGTCGTCCATAAATTATAGTGTCACTGAAAGTACTTACGATTGTTCGCATAACCCTATGCCGTTTTGCTTCATCTGAGGTGCTAAACGAACGTGACACGGCTATTTCACTCGGTAGATTCACTTTTCGTGCAATATTTTGTTTTTCGTATACTTAGTCGCCCTTTGTTTACCGACCTCAGTATATTTCCGTTGCTTCCAGAAAGCATAATTATCTTATAAACTACCTCTTCACAGTTTTGACTAGAAGAAGGTTTATCTGGTCTCGTGAAACTTGATGTCTTAGTAGCCGTATTGCCATAATTAAACCTCGTAACTCATTGCTGCAACACGTCGACCTTTGTCTAGCTGTTAAGTCCGCTGACACAATTTCGTCAGAGCGCTTGTACCTTAAAAGTTTCGTTCCTCCAAGCATCTGAAACAGCCACACAGGATCATGATTAACACAGGAGAGATTCGTTATACTCGAGATTTACTCAACAGATATATAAGCTACCCAACGGTGACTTAATTTTGATTTATATACTATCTCTTGATATCCGCTCGTGGGGTATTTTTTAGGAAGGGTAAATCAATTATATATAAATTTTCTGCAGCCTAGTATTAATAACACGATTGTTAAGTCATAGAATTTTGAACTACGTCAAGATAAAATGCTTGAGTCAGTTTAAATTTACTTGAGGAAGTGTTTAAAATGCTTGTATATCATTTTAGCAATGTAAACTAATTTGTTCCATCAGTTAGTGTTAACGCACCATAACTTTCCAGTCATTTTACGTGATTAAAAGCATAGTCGTGAGGAATCTTGGATTTTAACTAATATTGTTTTCCAAGGTTTTGAGTGTCAAAGTTATTATAAAATTCCTTTTTTTGTTTCTATTGATTGCCAAATATGTATCAATATCAATGTAGTTGTGCATATTTTTTGTGGTTTTATTAAGCTTTCCGGTCAGTAACCGATACATCTTAAAAATGAGTGTCTTGCACCAACCAATGAAATGATGCATAAGTCAAAGTCTAATCAGGTGCTGCAAGTTGAGCATATTAAAGAGCTCCACGATCATTGGACTAATTGCAAGTCATTAATTGATGAAAAGGATAATGGCGTTCTATCTACTTCCAAAATTGACACCGTTTTTCACCATGTCAGTAAAATTATACTACTAGTTGTTGATGAGCACTCTTCCGACAGTAAGTCTTATCTGCCCTAATTTGATCGTTAACTATATTAAGGGTTTATATCTAAATTACAGCACAACAAACCATCAAATTTGACCCATACATTTAGTACCTTTTTGAATAACATATTCGCTTGTAATCTAACGCTATTGTATGACTTTATGAATAAGTCCAAAGTGATTTCACTTGGATAATTTGCATTCCCGATTTATAACTTTCACTAATTATCCGCATACTTCTGTTTTTATTATGATACTTGTCTAGTATTGTTAGCGTTTTGAGGTTTGGTCCCTCCAAGATTGAAAATAAATCTTACTAATAATTACCAAGATCTAACAATATAAATCGTTATTTGTATTGTTTACTATTGTAAACAATTTTTTCTACGTAATAGAATTGTGATATCAGTCTACCGTGATATTACACTCTTGAGAAGATTTAAGAAATGATTTATCTTGCTTACTGGCTCAAGAGTCACAGAACTATACTGCGTAGTTAATGAGTGCTATGTGATATTCTTATTTTCTTTATATGACCAAGTATAAGCTGTTAAAGTTCAGAATCCTTAGAGACCTGCTAACTGTCAAGATAAATGACGGTTTAAAAGGTATACAATAGTCCCTTGATATCATATAGTTTGATTTTATAGTTTGGTGTAACGAATTTTCAATTTTTAAAGTGAAAGGAAAGAATAATTGACAGACAAAATACAATTATAGGAAATAACCGAGTGATAACTGATTACGGGACCAGATTATTGGTAAGTCCCCGAATGATTTGAGATTGTGAACAATATCATTAGCTATAATAGGCCTTTATTCTAAGGAAAGAACATTTTTGTACAAAATATTAACAGAACAGCATGATTAAATATTAATAACGATTGTGCTAAGTAAATTTTGTATATCTTTGATTCTCCAATTAATTCAGTTCCAGCTTTTACAACTAATTATAATCCTAGCTGACCAGTTATCATTGCATTTATGGTTAATGCTACCGTGTGATGAACTCAAATAGTACTTATCTTCATAAGAATACTTCATGTTTTCTTTGTCATTGTTAATGGAACAGCTTACTAGGTTATTCCGGATGATAAGTAGGTTAAGGGGACGTCATTGCCTCCTGGTTAACTGTTAAATCCAGCTTATGCATACAGTTTGATTAAAATTGTGGTTTAATCTACATAATTTGAATAAAAATTTCTGATTGCTCGCTGAATAGTTTAAACCTCAAGCGTATGAAAGGTTATTTTGAAATCACTGTGTAGTCTGGCTGCTTCATCCGTTGGTTTTAGTGAATGGCCTGATAAGCTCTGCTTGAAATCAAACGTCACCACTAATATTCTGTTAATTTGCACTTCTTGTCGATTCTATATTTTGTCTACAAATTTAAATGTCGAGTTAGCTTCCGATCTACGGACTTGGTGCTTTCGTATTCTTACTTCGAGATGGAAATCTGAGAAAAGTATTAATGTATGAACACTACCGTCTTCAGAGTGGTATTCGAACTCAATAACTAGCTATTAGTAGGGTCATACCTAACCAAGTTGGATTATATAGCACAAAAGACGTGTGCTTGATTTTAATTTGAGTTAAAATAGATTTTAATGCTTTGGGAAAGCTTTTATTCTATGGCTCTAGGCATCTAATCGACATTACCTTTTATATTACCAGTCGAACCGGCTGCCTATTTCATGAATTTGCATATTGACTAGTGAACAACAGTCAAGACCTTAACGCTTATTGGTCCTCGAGCCTCTCCTAAACTCGTAGCCAGTTAGAAAATGCGGATAAATAGCAGATCAATTCTCTATTGTACTCAATTCGATTGTTACTCAAAATATGCAGTAATACAATTGAAATGCCTGATCACACAGTACATCAAATGAGAAATCACACTTTAAGCACAATAATATCATGAATATTAGAAGGCAGAAGAAACAGTGCATAATTAACTAGCAATAGTTAGAGAAAAGTTAAACGTACAACAACAGCCAATAGATTCACTGAAAGCTTATAATAAGAGAAACTTAGAAATACAATAATAAGGTTATCTTCTAATTATACAGTAAAGACATAATAATGATCCGAAAATTAGCGCCGAAAACCTCAGCTCCCCCAATATTTGTCCCACCATAACAAGCCTTTTTAAACTTGTTCAATCTGTTTAAATTGCTTATATTTTTATAGTATGGCTCCGTATCATCTGAGTCATAGTTAATGGGTATATAAATCCAGTTTATTTAAGAGCCACCATATACTAGGAAGGAAGAAAGGTAATCTGAATCTTAACTAGATCTCGGTAAAATATTTTATCTGTTGATTACTGACTAGATTCATGGGTAATTAAGCTACTGAAGTTTAATATCGTAGTTTGGTGTCTGATAGTGGTAAAACAGAACAATCCAACCAACTTCGAGTCCTCATATTGGGTGATAAACTACATTTGTTTTATGAGGGCTAGTAAACATGTATTAAAACTTAAGTGTGTTGGGCGTTGTTTTAATCTATGACCTGCACACCTAAACATCTGGGTCTCTGGTTCATATTAAGGTCAGTCGGTTGATGTCATGAACACTAATCTAAAGGTCAAAGTATGTATCATTTTTAAAACCCATTTTACTTTTGTAGCTTTAATTTACCAATGGATTTTATTATTGGAACCTATTTTATGTATTTTTTAAGCTCTAGAAAGAAACAAACTAGTAGAAGGTTCATATCTTGAAACAATAATAAGAAATAATATTTTTGAATTACTCCTCATTTGGATCGAAGGAAATCCAACACCAAAAGATGAAAAATCTATCAGTACTCGCGATGTGTTAAGAAAACATTTAATCACTGCTTTTGAACAGTTAATAACACAATCGAAACAGAATGTTTTGCTTTATAGACCGATTCTTCAACCTTTGTGCCAATTTTTATTCAAATTATCCTCACAGTTACGGCCTAGTTATGATCAAATCTATGGGCATTTGTTACATGAAGTTTGCATCTTGTTATGTAGAAACTTTCAGTTGTTGGAGTTTAGTAAAGAAGTAAGTTCTTGATAATTTTATATTTACTTCTTTGTGTGTATATGTTAGAGATCAAATTGTTAACTTCTAAAGAGACTAGCTTTATGTGGTTAAAGTTCATCAGTTAAAACTCATTCGCTTTAATATGATGAGCATGTGGTAGCTAGGGGATTAGTTACAGATGCCAAGTCACCACCTGAATGAGTCTGTGATGCTTGTTGAAGTATAACTAAATTGGCATAGCACTGAAGATGAACAGATGAATCAGATCATTGAAACTAAAGTCTGTCTATTTAAGTATTGTAGTTAGATGTCATAGTTTCCCAATATGGCAAATCAGTGGTACTAGACCATGAGTGACATTGTTTAGAACGGATTCTCCTTCAGTCCTAATGATTTTAATATTCGTTTGTTTTTCCCTTCTCTCCTGCCCCCTGTTCTGAAATCCTTTTATTTCTGTATTCTTTAAATAGTTATACTTCATTCCGGAGTGTGATAAATCGAACTGTGTTACTTGTGGGAGACATTCTAAATTATTATACCTAATATTATCAGTCCTTCACTTTTCAAGTAATCTAGGAAGTATCTTTAACGATCACATTATTAGGAATAGCTATCACTCGTATACGAATCTGTAAGTAGCTAATGAGATCCTAGTAACCTACGTTTTTAAAAAATTTTAACATATATAATTATGAAAAAAAATAATTGTAGTAGTCATTATAGACTTACTGATGCAGGAAAACCTTATTTAGCTGTTTTTTTAGCCCTATTCATTTTCAGATAGTTTTGATCACGGACTTTGATGAGCTAGAGAACCACTGTAAGTCAAAAGCATTAGACGACTGCTTCATCTTTGTGCTTAGTTTCTCAACCCCTTGCATCTACTTTCTTTACACGGAATCGAGCCTAGAACTATGACGTACAACCTGTCTAATGTTTCTTGGTTTCCAACTGAATTTCAGCTCAATTCTATATTACGGTGAAAGTTACTGTTCATCTAGTTATGCTGATTGTTCTAGGGTAGATAGAACTATCAGTGGGTATTCTGTAAATTCCACACATCTTCCATTTTTTATTAACATTCTATCTTTCTTATTTATTATCAAAAATATTCAACTCTAGACTTTAACTTGAGACTATTAACTTAAGCGTTTGGATAAAAAAATCTGATATCGGTTTAAATTCAGGTCTCATATTTCTGTCATCAATATTGGACAAAATCTAAATTTTAACAAAGACAGATGGACCATCCGTCGTAATACACTTCCACACTTTTAACATGAATAGTAAATCAACCAAACTATTGTTACCAATGGATAAATTGGATGAATAATCTTTCAGTGTTTCATACGGTATACACAAGTACACCGTCTTTTTAAAATACGTTAATCGAAAATACTATATCAGTCAACAACAATTCTTCAACATCTCACACAATAGGTATGTTGGATGTATTTGAGGAATATTTGTCAGGAAGAATAATTGCCGATGGACTGGAAAGAAGGACACCACATCAAGAAACCAAAGTAAGGAAATCTGAGCAAGTGTGGGAACTACAGAGGCATCACACTACTGTCAGTACCAGGAAAGGTTTTCAACAGATTGTTGCTGAAACGGATGAAAGACTCAGTAGACGCCCAACTTCGAGATCAACAGGACGGATTCCGTAAGGATCTGTCGGGCACAGACAAAATCGTGACACTACGGATCATTATTGTGCAATCAATTAAATGTGATTCGTCACTATACATCAACTTCCTCGACTATGAGAAGGCGTTTGACAGTGTGGGTAGGAGGACATTATAGAAACTTCTTCGACACTGTGGAGTACCTGAGAAGATCGTCATTATTATCCGGACTTCATAAGACGGACTGTAATGCAAAGTCGTGCATGGAGGACAGCTGACAGATGCATTCAAAATAAGGACTGCAGTCAGACCAGGCTGAGTACTCTGCCCTTCCTCCTTCTTCTAGTGATTGACTGGAATATGAAGACCTTGACATCAGACGGGAAGCATCATTAGGTCTCAACATACACGAAGGAAAAAGCAAGGTCATCAAATACAACACAGAGAAAACCAGCGTAATCACACTTGATGGAGAAGCTCTGGAAGATGTGGAATCTTTCACGTACCCGGGCAGAATAATCTGTAAAGAAGCAGAATCTGATGCAGATGCAAAGGCACGGATTGACAAAGTAAGAGCAGCACTTCTACAATTGAGGAACATATGGAACTCAAACGGACTGCCAGCCAACATCAAAGTTGAAATTTTCAATGCAAACGTTAAGACAGTCCTACTGTAAGGTGTTGAAACCTGGGGGACTACCATAATCATCGTCAGAGAAGTACAGGTATTTACAAACACCTGTCTTTTGAGCTTCTAAATTCCTGACAACTTCCTTTGTGTTTTTACCCCAATAATTTATATTTTCTAGAATCGTATCTTCGTCGCCTATTTTTTTCATTTACCACTTATTTATTTATTTAAACACATAAATATTGGTACCAAGGGGTACCGAATACATATGCACCACAGAAGTTACTTGGTTTGTGTGTGGGCTGTGATACTGCACGGGTGCCCAAATCAAAGCAGGTGGTTTTCTGAACGGGCCATACTCAGAGCCTTCGACCTAATGGTCTGATCCACAAGGCAATAGAGAAACGTAAGGAGATGCAGTCCCATGATAGCCGGTGACCAACGATTGGCTCATACAACATTTGTTCCCTCAGGATTCTGGAGCCTATGTGCACCGTTGATTTGGAATTAGGGTTTTCCAACTCTCCCAGCTGGATCCTCCAAATCGACCAGCCTGGTTAAAGCGCCTGACATTCGCTGTTTGTCCTCTCGATTTCGTAAACAACAGTAATGCCGCGATAAGGCAGTGAGTAGGACTTCCTCACGTCAGGTGTCGTCCGGTGAAGCAATGTACCGTGTTATTCAACACTCATACTTTTACTTCCTTTACTATTCTGGGATTTGACCTGGCAATTTCGTCTGTCTGTTTTAGTGAGATATGGACGCTTGAACCGATGTACTAGGGTTCTACGTTGCGACTGACTGACTGACTGATTTGTGATTTTAAATCATTGATCATAATCATGAATTTGGATATCTTTATTATTTATTTTAGTTATGCAAAGAAATTTTCAACCAACCGTATATGATATTTTCATTGCTTGTTCCATTAGTACATCGAAATGACCCGTTGGGGGATTCGGCTAGAGATTCACTCCTAATCATATTTGGACTTTCTAATAAAGATGATTGTCTTGGTCAATATTTAGCATATGAATCTGATATATGTCCGGTAAGCTGGTTGTGGTTATATAAGGCGTTATCTCTGAACTCAGGTCTGTGTACTACTTGTTCATTAGTTGCATTTTTGTTTTTAGGAGGATCTATGATGTGATGTCTCCTAGGGATTTAACGTTTCGTCTGTAATTCTTTCCTATATGTGCGATTTATTAACTCCAGATTTGTGTACGTATCTTTGAGCTGCTTTGGATGAGGTGTAATGGCACTTTTCGGTTCCTCAAATCGAATTACGTGGGTCGGGGTTTAAAAAGATATATTTCAGCACATCATACAAACGGTTACGTTTTATTAGATCATATTTACTAGTTCATGAATGTACGAACACATTGAAGTTAGTGAGTGATCGTTCAAAGTATACAATAGTGACTGAAGAAACATAGGCCCATACCACTTCAAATTCACTGGGATTATGGAAATTCAATGAAGTTGGGTGACAGACAATAATCCTTTTATAACTTGTTACATAATAAAAATGGGTCGTGCAATTTCATTCAAAGCACAAATTTCCATATAGAAAAGAATTCAGGACTATATATGGAGTTTCACCAACCCTTTGTTAAAGTTATTCATTCTTAGCCCGAAGAACCTCCTTTGCGTCATTTTTTTAAAATTTCATTCTGTTGGTAAAAGTGCGACATCTAAACATAGAATTCTTTTCTTATCATCAATACATATCAACGCACTAAGTAAGACTATATGCCTACTACTGGCTATTTCATGACGAATATCCTGAAGTTATGATGGAGACTAAATATTATATTGTAACCTTGTGTAGTGTTAACTTTACAACTAGCTAACAAATATCATGTTTGTTTAGTACTGATCGAATTATATCGGTCAACAAGTTACAATATGTCCACTAGTCTAAGTGACTTGACACATCGCCTGTACTATGTCAAGATGTTAGATGGTTGGAGGTACTCGACAGGAGGCCCTGTATTGGCACAGGTTTCGTACCAGTTAGTAATCGTCGGCAAAGTGTACACGAAGTCTTAAGGGACCTAATACTCTCTGTGGGCTTTGAACCCACATCAAGCAGTTGCAACTTGATCTCTGGTATTCGATCTGTGTCAAAAGACTAGTCAAACATGACATTGGTCACTACGTAGTAATCATCCAGTTTTAAACATCTCAGTTCTACATGAGGTAAGTCTTGGCCTGAGTAGCTCAGTGGCAAGTTTCACTCTGGGAAAGTGGGTGGATCTAGTTCTAGTTCCACGCGGAACACCATTTCCCTGAAGTCTGAAGGCACACCTTGTTGACCTAGCACCAGGGTTACTGCAAATCATTTGTCAAGTATAAGCTTATGTATTAATCTTTAAGTCATTTATGCGCGAACCTTAAATGAAACTAACTAGCTGTTAAAACCTAAATGAGTGCATTATGTGTTTGACCTGCTAACTCAGTAGTTAAAAAGTCAAGCTCTTTAACCAGTTAGCTTTTGCCTTGTTATGCAGAAGTAACTAAATTATTCATGTATGTATTTGCAAATAGGGTTGTTTTTGTTAGAGCCAGGTTAGTTTTCCAATAAAATGGTGCATACAATGTCACTTCTGTCTTATCGTAGTCCGTCTGTTATAATATTGATCATATTTTTCTTCATGTATACGTTCAGCCGATATTTGGGTGTGTCTTCTGTTAATCTTGTCATAGCACAATTAATTGGGTCGGAATTATGTATTGGCTGTTTTTTGTTTTGTTTTTTACTTCAGATTTTAGCTACTGGTTTAAGTGGTCTGTATTCTAGTCTACCAAAAAAGTTAGTTCCACGTTATGGGCTATGTCAAAATCATAACGGTGATATTTCATTAAATTCTCCGGGAGGTCCAGTTTCTGTAACTACGCCAATCTATATTCAATCAGATTTACTCAACCCATGTCTGTTGGAATTACAAGTCGGTGGAGCTGAATGGCATCAGATAACCGAGAATGAATGTTCCAATTCAATCGATATACGCCGATTTTTACATACATTACATTTTTGTAATCTGACTATTAAAGTAAGAAAGATGTATGCGTTTTCTAGTTTATTTTTTACTAACATTTTTAAAACCTTTAGCAATGTTTATGCCTATTGCATTGATGGCTTAGATTTCATTACGCAAGCGTTTCTCTTCCATGCTAGACATGATCCTGATAGAATAATCTTATAGAGAAAAATTAACTATTTCATTGACACTTATACCGTCGTCATTGTTAGTAACTAGTAGTCTTTTTTATCTCATTGAGAATGACCTAAAAGCCCAAATGTTTAAACTTAGATTAACTACTTTAGTGCTGTTACTGTTATCACTTAGTTGAAAGCAATCGAAAAAAAGAGACATTTCAAGTGTACTAAACAGTTAAAGAGTGAACAGACGTAATAAACAGAACTCAAACAAATGACTTTAATATGTTCACTACTAGAAATGCAATTATATGTTACATACATTTCGGCCCTACGTATTTGTGATTAAACGATAGCTCCTGTAGAGCTAGTTGAATAGACCGTACTCAAAGAGCCTTATCATTGCGTGCTCGTGAACTTGTTCTAGTATGGTTGGAAAAATGATTTACGAAATCTGTTAACAGCACCATCCTTCCTTACTTGATAGACAGCGAACAATACATTAAAAGATTATTTCTTTTCGTTTTTATATTGACCCCCAAATAATTCACATAAATTAGCAAGATTACGGCTCTTCTATATAATGAAAGTTATCAGGATTAACTCAAAAGAATCAAACTTATGTATACATCAGAGGAATATTTAATCTTTCTTTTTGTTATGGTCCATCATTGCCTCATCAATCTTCGTTCTGTCCCATTCTTGATTTGTTCATTGATGTTTCTCAGTTCATATCAATTACTCTGACAACATTTCTCTTATTGCATGTTTTATTCACATGACTGAATTATTATTATTATTATCTCAATAAATCAGACATTTCTCTTACTGTGCATTTCCTCCACATGATTTATATCGATTGTAGCTCGACAGTGTACAACAAACTTACCTACTCCTTTTCTTAAATGACCTTTCAAATTTACAAATGGCATTTTTAACGTATATGTAATGTAATCTATGCTAAAGTTCACATATTGCATAGTTCACTTACAACTTGTCTATATATACCTCATTTTTGACATTTGTATTACAATAATTATGGATTTATTACTGTAAAGTCTGATGATAATTTTATTAAGAGCGATCGTTTGTTCGAACATTCTTTGTCTTGGAATACTACTCTATAAGAGGAATCTTTCAACTAAAGTGACAGCTTCAAGTATAAATGTCATATTTTGTTCATTTGTTTTTTTTTAAATATTTAATCATTCCATGGTCACTATTGACTTCAGTCTCTGTGAAATATAACTCATGTATATTTTACAAACTGGTCTCTCTCATCTTTTGATGTGTTCTTTTGGAATTATGTTTTTTAGATTGGAAGAAGTATAAAAGTGAGAATTATACATAGAGAAGGCGGAATATGTTTAAAGTTTTGTTATTTTCTAGAATAGCGACTGTGATAATGTTTAATACCTTCGTACTAGTCATAGCGTTGTAAAATAAAATTGCTCCTTTTATGGTAATGTTTGATTAGCTGATTAGCAGGCGATATATACCAATCCAGGTCCCAAATAGGACGAAACACACGTCCTGGATTCCACTGCTAGTCATCATTCATCTTTTTTTATAATGCTTGTGACTTAAGGCAATATCGAAGCAATCCGTACAGGATGTCAATAAGGAACTGATCAATTGAAATCCTAAACATCAATGGGAAGATTCAAACAAATAATACAAAATGAATATACTAATTAATGCTTACAACTTGCTAATTTAAATTTTTGGAAATTTCATTATTGGTTAGCAGTTTGTAATGCACTGTTGTGAACAGGAAAACAAGAAGCCCTGACAAACTATGAAAGCTATTTTTCGGGACGTTATCCCATTTTATTCAAAGCTTGTAAAACACTAACATTTATTTTTGTCCCTATTCTATTCTATAGAACATAAGCTTTCGTCCGATGTTTGATTCATTGGCATACCCTTTTCTGTTCCGAAGCTATTGTAATTTGAACATAATATTTTGCACCCTATATTCTACGCTAATTCCCAGCATTGGACATAATTGTACTTTTCCCAATTATGTGTACATTGTGGTCTGGTTATTCACTTACTTATTCATGTACCTTTTTACACTGAACTGAACTGAACTGAAATCAGGATATCAGGAGTAGATCGAGTAGTGTTCTAGCTGTCTTGTCTTCTCTCATTCGCGTGCTTGTCAGCCAATCAGGTGATGGAATAGTTTCCTCTGTACCCCACTTCGAACTCACGCGTACTAGCCTCAAGGTTAGGCCGGTCAGCCTATCGCGCCAAGGTCATAATCTGGATTAGATAAGTATCCCCAGCACCAAGAGTGGGTAGACAGACCAAAGGACATAACATGCAACTTGTTCAATTGTTTTCTTCGATTGTAGGATTTAACAGTATTGCGATACCTTAGTCAAAATGGTCAAATAATCTTTGCTAGAAATTACGAATACTTCCAGTTAATATCTTTTTATCTTTTGTAGTAAATGGTGTTAGTAGAACTGTTATTTGGCTCATACCTACAAAGTTATTATATTTACCAGTCAAGCTTATTTTTATATACCTTTTTTTTCTGTTTTTTTTTAATTTAGATTGCACATCCTCATGTTCGTGATCAATTACTATATTTTATTCATTCTGGATTCTTGATTCCTGTTTTAGGATCTGCATTACATCAGGTATGTTTATTGTTGCTCATTCATTGTACAACGTACTGCGATTGTCGTAGCAGTTCTAACCACTAAGTAGCATTGTTAATATTTTTATAATAAATGTTGTTTACGATTTCTTACATCAGATCTTATATGGTTACTCTGCGTTGCATTTCGGTTGTACAACTGTTCAATTGTAATTAGAAGTTAAGTAAACTAACATCTACTATTGACAGGATGTTATTTAGTCTTGAACTATAAATTCCAAACTAATTATGGTTTTTTAAGTCACTGGTTTGTAGTGTTGATGAAAAAAGCTGAGATTCTTCACAATATATTCGATAATGACTGATATGTCTGATACTTGAATCTTTGACATTGACTTCCTTATTGCATCATGTTCCTTCGGTAATCTATACAAGACAACAAGTGAGATTTTAGTTTTAACATTAGTTTTTGTACAGAAAACAATGAGATTTCTACGGTTATATGTAACTTTTCCTAAGTTTCTGGAAATATGTTAAAATAATAACGAAATAGGTAATTATTCAATCAGGATGTTGAGAGATATAATTCATTGTCTTTTTAGAACTGAGAATTTGTATTGAACGCTGATTGAACTAAGTATTTTCATTCATTCCTATCTTTTAATGATTTTCTCGATGAATTCACTACGATTCTCTATAGGGAATGTAGTGAACAGTAACACGAGTGGGGACAATCGGATGTGTTTGGCACGAAATTGCAGAGCATCTCAATGAAATCTGAGAACCATATAGTAAATAATTAGTTTGCAAAATATCAATCCATCGCCTCAAACTTGATTGTTCCTTTGCAAATATCAGTCCATTGTTTCAGATTTTATTGTTCATGCATTTTCATACCAATTGCGTTCTGTTTCTGTTCTTTCCTTATCGATCTTCTACTGAAATATATTCTGTGCCTGACCACCGTTATATACTACTTATGTGATAATAAGTAACCCACACCACAGTGACTTTGAATGATTATAGTTTTTATTCTCTTTCACTTGAAGTTTAGTTTCTTTTTTTATACAGTGATTTATTGAAAGTGGTTTTCTAACTACTGTGCAATGTTAAAGTTGTTGGAAATAAATTAAAATATAGATGAACTTGTTATTTATTCCCTAAAGAGCATAATAAATGAATGGGAATTCAAAATTCAAACTTACATTATACCTAAATCGGATTCTAACTGTTCTTTTTGGGTTTTACAGTGAACTCTTTGCTTTAGTTAACTAAGAAGAAGAGCTGTAGTTCAACTCAAATATTATCATTACTACTATTTACAATGTAGATGATTGCTATTTGTTGATTCTATAGAACTTTCTGTTCTCAGTTGTTTCAGGTTATAATGTGTACTTTTTCAGAATATCGTGATTGGAAAAACTTACGTTTGTGCTGCTGCTGAGCCTTAAATTAGTATGAATAACAGTCTGATGCCTTTTATATTATCACTATACCCTATCTTAAGTTGATCTTGTTATGAATTCAACTTCTATCTTCTCACCTAATTTGTTTAAGCCTTGGTGATGAGACCGCTCACATCAAGTAACACTAATGACATTCGCTTCACTTGTTGTATCCACTAAGCATGTTAACTCAGATTTATATATATATGACTACCTACCTCCTAGCCCAGCTATCTGATTTACTTTCTATTATGTGGTCCAAAAGATCTTAATCATATGCATAAATTGCAAAAACACAATACGCCAACTAGTTCACGCTCTTAACATAACTTGGTCGTTCGTGGTACCAGATTGACTAACAGCTATTTAGTTAGTTAATCCCGTCCAACTAAGTACGAACGCCTATTGGCTACTCGAGAAAAGAAATATCTTTAGTAAAGATGTGCAAGACTGGAGCATTGAAGATAGCAAAGGTAATTGCCACGTTAGCAGCTTACTTTGGTACAGTTCATGTAGATTGAGGATTTCGATTCAACCATACTTTATGAAGGAGACGGACACATTACTTGTTTACTTCTGTATAACTGTACTGGGGGCACCCTTATCAGAAAACTTTATAGTAAGCCATGAGCTTTGTGAGCGATAATGTGTACATCAGTATGAAATGTGGATAACGCCGCAAGTATACATTACATGCATACATATGATACATAAATCAGGGCCTATACACTCTATAGTATTGTAGTAAGCCCATTCAACCATTGTATTATTTGTCTACTCACTGTAATTTAGACACTTAATTCCCTATGTTTATTTCGTTGTGTGTATGATTGAGCACGTGTCTGCACATCAATCTTAATCTATTCTCCCATTGGTTATAACACGCAGATAATCAATAATTTATCCACACTTGATTAACACTCATAAACATATATGGATTTTTTTTAAACTCACACTCACACTCTTTGTTTCACTGTGTGCTTGCTTGCTGTGCGCTTGTGGATTTTATTAATCTTTAACAATAAAATATCTCTACAACTGGTGTTCAGGCTTCTGAATAATCTCGAGTAAATCCATAATTCTACCAGGAGACTTAGCCTACCTTAAATACTCAGTTAACGGGATATCATTTACTGGAGTAGATAGAGGGGAAATTTGCATCTACAGTATACACACGGGTGTGAATCTAATTTGCTTTTATTGCCTCCAGGCTAGAGCCCAGTTACGGTAGGAAATGATTAATGTACTTGCTTTCAAGTCACTTGATTAAATTAGTTTGTTTATGATCAACTCTATGCTCATACCACAAATAAGTTGAGTGTCGAATCTTATGCTTTGGTTACGACACAGTTGATGGTCATCGCTCTGGTTTTTACCAAACCAAATGAGGCATCGTAGAGATAATCTGGTCAGGCGAAAAACGAGAAACTTATTCTTTCAAGTTCCGAATATCACATAAGTCTTTACCACAAGCCCTTCATGTAATCCATGTTTATGACGGAGTGGGGGACTCGTCTGATCTGCACTCAGCCACTTACGTTCATGGATTAAAATTTCACTTTCTTCAGGGGGACCTCGAGGAAGTGTGAATAGGATTTTATAAAATTGAGTAACAGGGGAATAATTACCTATAGCCTATGATTAACTACCTAGTTGGAAACTTGCAATTAGGGCGATATAAAAATACCGTAAATCAAATATTTACCACATACATCATTGAAATGTTTATTGTAATATATCCGTAGAATAGTTCTCAAAGTACCGTATGCCACACTTATTCATATGTAACTAATAAGTATGTGATTAAAATTGTATGTATATATCTATGTAATAGTTACTATCGCTTTTATTTAAAGAGTGCTATGGATGAAGTAATTGCAGCTACAGCTTATCTGGAATTGTTTTTACGTCGTTTAACTGAACCTTCAATGATTAAATTATTTCTGAAATTCATTATCACCGAATCACATGATTCTTATCATATACTCACATCGATTATGAATCGTTTAAATGCAAACGCTATGGTAAGTGCTTTTTTTGTTCACATTATGTAATTACACAGATATATTGTATTTGTTTATGACTGTAATCGAAAAAGTCTTTTATTTTTTATCACAGACTAGTATTAGATAGTTGGTTGTTTCGTCCAAGTTTATAACTTCCTATGAGTGCATGCTTCTGCTATCCCTATGCACCAGAGTTCTTAAGTTTATTATTATTATATTATTTCGTCGTTTACATTGCAAAGTGATCTTAGTTATACAACTATTAAAAACCAGAAATCACTCTATGACTATTTTGTCCCAACATAATACTCAGGAGTTGTCAGCACTTACTACTACCTCTCCAAGGAGTTCTAGTGCGAAACCGTGACCAATAAAGTCTCAATGTGTGCATTGTGAAGCTAGACACATAAACTAATGGGTATCAGGATAAGTAACCTAAGGGTTAACCATTCGCAGCGCAACTTAAATAATCTGCGTTTGACCCCCCAAAAAGTCGTGGTAACTCATCAATTAGAAATTACATGCTAAGAATAAACAGCTGTCTAGTATTTTCTCGTTTCTAATGGTTATCTAACTAAGGTCAGTTCGTGATAAAATATTTTATTCCCTGAATCAGTAGTTAACCCATACAGTAATGTTATTCAGATACCTGTATTTTTATAGAAGTGATGCCCAAAACTAATTATTCACAGATTATTTTCGTTCTCAATGTAATCGTGTAGTTTTCATTAGTTCTTAGTTGTTGAAAATCAGAAGTCGTATGTTAATTATTTGTGGTAGCGTATTCTTTACAATTTGGCAGGTTAAAATTAATCGTTCTTTAAAAGAATACAAAGTCTTTTTGTGATAGTACTTTATATGGAATTAGAGGAAAATGAAAACATCAGCAAAAGTTAAATTGTATGTAAGAATATTCTACAACAATTAACGAAGTAAACTAAAATGAAAGATCTTTGAATTGTATTATTATTTACTTACTTACACCTGTTACTCCCAATGGAGCATAGGCCGCCGAACAACATTCTCCAACCCACTCTGTCCTGGGACTTCCTCTCCAGTTCTATTCAATCGATGTTCATTCTTCTCATGTCTATCTCCATTTCTCGGCGTAATGTGTTCTTTGGTCTTCCTCTCCTCCTTCGGCCTTGAGGATTTCATGTGAGGGCTTGTCTTGTGACGCAGTTGGGTACTTTCCTCAATGTGTATCCTATCGACTTTCAGCACTTCTTCCTCATTCCTTCCTCCACTGGTATCTGGTTTGTTCTCTCCCATAGTAGATTGTTGCTGATAAGGAGTATTATTATACGATATAAAATTAAAAAAGACATTTCATCCTTAAGTTAATTTGTAGTCGAATTATGTGTTTTGCAGTTTATCTAAATCGGATAAATTTTGTTATCAACGGAAACTTATTATTGGATACTAAAAGTTTATTTGTCACTTTGTGCTTTTTCCTTATCTTCAACAGAAATATAGAAAAAAATTTCGACTGGTAATTGTAATGTAATGAAATTCTATTTTTTATTTTTCTCAACTACGACGCATTACCATTTCAGTTACAGATATACAATTTTAGTCGGTTTAAAATCATTATCCGTGCATAGTGATACAACCAATTGAATAAATCATTGTAAGAGCTTGCTTTAGGGTTGTGATCTAGGAGGTTGTAAATATTTATTTACTGAATTAATCAGTACACTATAAACTACTATCTGTCAAAATGTTTAATTCTCAGCGAACGTGGTAGATTCCCATTGCGGTTAGTTCACGATATGTGACAAATGTCAATAGTTGTTCTTTACTTTTCTATAAAAAGGTAGTAGTTCTTTAGTTATTTGAAATACATAGTTTGAGATACTTTATCTGACCTTGTTAGACACTGGTATCCTCTTCGTTGTCTGTGATGTGAAAAAGTTCATGATGTCTCAAAATAACCAAAAAGAATGAATCAACAGCCGAACTAACCAGTTAAGACAGACCAAGAATGTAATCAAAGTCAGTTAGCTGCAACGTATGACCAGGCACATATATGAATCGGTCCAAGTTGCCACACCTCTTAAGCACAAGATGAAAACCAAATTCATAGAACTAGTTACTTCAATGATAGTAATACATAAAAGAAAGATTGTGTATAAGGATATAATACAGGAGGAATGAATTAATTCGTATAAATAAAGGTATAAATCAATTTTAAAAACGAAAACATAACATATCTGAGGAGAACACAACTAAGCGTATGAAGAACAAAAAGAAAAAAAAACTAAAAGAATAATTAAAGTGATGTACCGATTATTACATGTAAATAAATAATTAATTGACGTTAAATTCTATTTGTGCATATGAGTATTTGTCTAACTCTGGTGTTATTGAGTTGCTATTGATCAGTTCAACCATTCAATTCTGTCATCTCTCCAAACTTTGAATTCTTTCCACGTTTGCTTCGTCAAGATGATCTGTAGTCAATCCGGTTCTGTTATCACGTACAGCCTCATCTAATTAGGCTATGAGTTGCATCTCTTGTGCTGTAAGAGTTACTGACCCCTTGGCTACTCAAAGAGAACTGCTTCAAACATTTGGTGTGTTCCTTTTAAAAATCGATTTCTTAGACCACTGAGATTTTTTTCTCTTAACTTAATTAATAATCATTAAATATGACTGACCAGTAAAATTTGCTAAGTAGCTAAGTAACTAGTAACATATTACTTTGATTAGTCACTTATGATATTGATAATAGACTGTGTATGATCGATTGTGGTTGATCGACCAAAGTTGTGTAGCTGATTGTTAAATTGTTTATGTGTTGGTCAGTGCCATTGAGATTAGCTCCAAGTTTTACTTTTCATCATTTTCCTCATTTTCTAGGACTTGTTATGAAAGAAGAATACCGTTTTGTAATCGATTCGCATTAATAGCCTGTTAGTATTGACTTGACTTTTATCTGAATTCGTCTGTGTTGTTATTTGTGTACACTTATGTCATACTTGAGCAGTCGAAATCCCATCCGTACACTTGTAGCACATGTTTAATTATTACGTTTCTAAAACGGGATTTGTCAGACAGTCATTCAGTCAGCTACAACGTATTACCAGGCACCTATATGCATCAGTCCAAGTTGCTATACCTCATTAGCACAACAAGATGATCATCAAATTCAGAAAAGTAGTTGCTGCAAAGGTAGTATTATATGTAAGAAAGATTGTGTATAAGTGTTTAGTACAGGAAAAAAGAATTAGAAAGAAATGTATATTTTAATTCTAACCTCACGGTTTAAGGTAATACAAAGAGTGTATACACCTATGTCATTGTGATCGATTCTGAGCCATGTCACCCAGAATCTCCAACCATTGGTTGCGATAGTCGTGCAGACCCCAACCAATTAGTCTGCATCTACCAACATAGCTCAGACGAGAAGTTAATGACTTCACACTCATTTAATAAAGAATCAAATTATTGAACTGTTATCGCCTGTATACTTGTCAAAAACTGGATATACTGCTCAGGAGTTTATTGTAAAATACATTACATGAAAACAAGAGTTGTGTAAGTTGTAATTTCTTGATTATGAGTATGTTCGAGGCATTACTCGTATATAATAAATTGATACAGAGAGTATATCTGTGGATTGTAAACTAGCTAATAATTTTTTAAGTCACCGATTAAGTTGGTTGAAACAAGTACTACTCACATCCACTACAAATGAGATTACAGTCTTTTACTTTTCATCTTGTTAATCTTATCTCGTTAAAATTGAACGTCTGGAGTCGTGTGTACATATATGGATTAGGTCTTACACTGCATTTGACTATTTAACTGTCCAAAAACGTAGAAAAATTAGCTATCGAGTACTTCTTAGTTTTCAACAGTTCTACGGTTGATGTCATTTCGTGGTGAGGAATTTCTTTAACACGTGATCACTGAAACGTAGAATGGTTTTGCTCGTTGATTGCAAAAAGTGGATTTAATTTTCTAAGTGGTGAAATGAGAAGATGGATTTCAGCAGAAGAATATAATGTTTATTAGCACAACATATCTTTGAACGATCTAATCACCTATTCATTATGTAAACAATAATAATGTCGAACTAAATGGTTGAGAACATGTGAAAGAACTGTATGGGTAATGAGGAGAAAATACTTATTGCACCACCAGTGATATGAAAAAAAAGTTAAAATCAATATTGCCAATGTAGTTTAATGGTTGGTGTTAAGTAAATCTAAATTGTCTACCTCTGTACGTCACCGCCCTTGATATTTTTTTTTGGATTATGACTAGTAGTGGAGTACAATATATATGTTTTGTTTTATTTTGTACTCGTCCGCTGAATTGGCCTGTATTCCGGTATAGATGTTGGTTACATTCCTGCGCTAAACTGATAAGATGCTTTCAACTCTGATTTCAATACAGTGAACTAAAGTTCCTCTATTCTTTTCTCTACTTTACCGTTAACTAGAGAAAAAAGACCGGTTTCGTAATAAACGCTTCGTTGCTGATCACCCCACTAGAATTAAAAATACAATTTAAGTTCATCGGTTATATATGAGTTACACTGATTGAGAGTTAATCGTTGTTACTGATTATAATCATAGCAAGAAATTAACTGAAAGTTTGTAAAGTAATGTAGTGAAAATGTTTTGAAAGTTAACCTTATACTCGTCGTAAATCGACATTGGTATCCTTTCTCATAAGTTATATTTGGAGGATTGTACATCATCAGCAATGTTCACAAAGGCTTATGTTTTCTGATTGTCGTTATTGGCGACTAAATTCTACTGCCGACCTTAATCCCCCCAATGATTGTTATGAGTTGAAAAGCAATAAATTATCATATTCATATGATTCGGCCGTGTATTATAGAAGCAGTTGTATTATCGAGCTGTCTACCAACTCATTTCTTTATTGCTTATAGGACCATGACCTGTTTAGCCAACAACACGATGATCTCCTGATCAATAACTCAATGACAGAAAATCTAATGCATACTGGTTTACGAGCTTCTAACCCAGTTTCCAATAGTATGACGAGGTTAGCAAACAGGTTCCTTCTACTGTCATCATAACTCAGACATTATGGAATTGTATACATTAATTACTTGACCACACATTAGCACAAATGAGAAATTATCATGTACACATAACTGTGTCATACGTAATAAACAATCGGAATAATAGAGGAATAAACAATTAACGTCAATTTAGGAATGATAAAATATATACCTACAATCAATACGTTAAACGAAATCTCATAAATAGAATAATATGGCAATACTTTACATATCTGGGCAGCATGAACACGGTGGATTTGATGCAAATATGAAGGCGCGAATCGACATAGCAAGAGCAGCATATCTACAACTGAAGAACATCTGGAACTGTCAATCAACACCAAAGTCAGAATTTTCAATAAAAATGTCAAGGCAGTTCTACTGTATGAGGAGGAACTTGGAGAACTGTGGAAACGACCATACAGAGGATACAAGTGTTTATTAACAGTTGTCTAAGAAAAGTACTTCGAATCCGTTGACCTGACACTATCAACAACAATCTACTGTTGGAGAGAACAAACCAGATACCAGTGTAGGAGGAAATCAGGAAGAAGCGCTGGAAGTGGATAGGACACACATTGAGGAAAGTACCCAACTGCGTCACAAGACAAGCCCTCACATGAAATCCTCAAGGCCGAAGGAGGAGAGGAAGACCAAAGAACACATTACGCCGAGAAATTGAGATAGACATGAGAAGAATAAACATCGATTGAATAGAACTGGAGAGGAAGTCCCAGGACAGAGTGGGTTGGAGAATGTTGTTCGGCGGCCTATGCTCCATTGGGAGTAACAGGCGTAAGTAAATGTAAAAACTGATGGTCTAAGTATTTAAAAACTATACAACGAAAGTATAAATAGTAATTTCGCGTAGGATAGTTCTGAAAGTTTAACGTTTTTCAAATTCCATTCGATATAAGATAGTGAAACCTGTAACTATAGGGAATATCCGCCAATCATGCTCCTATGACATTAGATATTAATGAAGTTCAGTTCTGAGTACCGTCGGGACAACGCAAACCTTTCAGAATCTTTTTTTACATCAGTTCTCTAGTCCTTGACAGCAATAGGTGTTTCAATCCTACTTAAATGATTGTAATTTATTTGTTTTAAACTTTCTACACCTTACATAAATATCTTAAGTCTAAATTATTCAGAAATCGCATGACTTGAATAAACTTTATCTTCTGATTTTACATTATGTAAATTTATTGATGAAATTAATTGTTTTATGTTTTTCATAGTGTTATGACGGGAATGTAATAGAAAGTTCTATTTTTGTTATACAGAACAGTTAAATATAATTTCACCATTTATTGCTACCTATTTACTAACCGTAGATTCTATTTATCCCACGCTAAATAAATTATAAAAGTAGAAATTCACAGAACTGTATTGCCTGCTTAGTAATTGTAGTAGTGCAGTGTATTAATGATAATAATTAGCCAATCAATCGTTCATATTTTTTCAAGAATCTTTCCTTTTCTTATGATCTTTTTCAATTTATCATGTGATTATTTATGTAAAAAAAGATGAAGCGTGATGTGCGTTACATACATGTATGCAGTATCTCAAGTATATTGGTTAATACGTTAATTCTGTTTATTATATGGTTAAAGTGAAGTTTTAGGAAACTAATACAATATTGTTCCCTTTTATCAATTAACATTATTCATTATACGTATTGATTGTTTAACTGAAGTCGAAAGTGGGTTTGGTGTCAATCTCAAAAACCCCTTGGAAAATATTCGCAATCTTTTAATTCATAGAATACAAATGATCAAATAGCTGTATTGATGACAGTTTTATATGATATATTGTTGTGAACAAAATCATACAGTGCTTTCGTAAAATATGGAAATCATGAATTGAATACATTATTTGCACATTTTTCATCAGTTGTCCTTTACATACTTCATAATTCCTCCAATTTTTTGTTATTCCATTTGCTTTATGTTTCTCTTCAATTCAATCTTTTGCTGTCAGGCGTTCCACTACCGATTGCTGTTGCATAATACTTATATCTGTCAACATAAGCAGCTTACACCATAGTGTTGCTAATAATTTACCAGTGTTGTCCATCACGTCTTTTCAGTGATATGATATATATGTTATACATCTAGGTTACGTATTTCACAGTTCTACAAAAATTACCAACTTACTTTTATAGTTGGATTCATGGGTCTATTTAAGCTAGACCACCATTGGAAAACTGGAAGCACTGGACGGTCGTTTTGGTCCTAGTATGGGATTCCCTGTCGGTACGCATCTACAACCTCGCATGCAGGACTCGAACTCAGGGCCTTCAGTCTTGCGCACGAATGCTTAACCTGTAGACCAATGAGCTGGTCGGGATCCAACGGTGTTAATGTCTAGCTTCAATCGATCCATGATCTTACGCAACTAATCGTCTATTGCCTGAGGTAGATACCTGTCTCTACCCAACACTGATTGGACTCCACTGGTCACGGTTTCTCACGAGAACTCCAAGAAATCCATCTTGATGCCAGTCACTAGTGAGCATATAATGATTATTATGAATTCAACTATTAAAATCACTACAATCTCCACAAAGCTCATTTTAATTGCAACTCACTTTAAACCAATCCGTTATGTTCAACCAAAGTGTGACTTATGATTGATCAAGAAGTATGTGTCTATTTATATCGCATATAATACCACTACCGTTTGTACTTTTATGTCAATAAACTCTTGTTCTAGTCTATGTCCAGTGTTTCGCTATTGAATGCTCGGATTATTTAGTGAGAGTATAATACGTATTTCGTGAACACCTACTTTATAACAAAATCCATTGGTGATTCATTACTTTATCCAGTACAATGTCTATTCGTAAGGATTATATTGTGCAAATTATAATTCCATGAAAATTATAGTTGCTGTGATGTATATACGTGATTAGTGATTAATATGAAGGAAACAAATCAACCAGTATTTTCCTAGGCAAAAACCACGAAAATTCATTCTATCATGTTTTCACCCGTTACTTTACGAAATATTGTGCTTTTTCATCAAAAGTTAGTCGTTACTCTTAATTTTTTTTGTATTTTTCTCTTCTAAACATGATTACTTCGAAGATATGTTGTGTTGTCTGTTACAACAATTCAAGATTATATAATGGTCTACATCTAACTTGTCTTACTAGGAAGCTCAACATTACTCAGTTTTAACTTTTCCAAACTGTTTTCCCTTCGAAAAAGTAGTGTAAAATACGATAATAGACGGGAGTAACGTATATTTGTAAGGAGAAGTTACAAAATATTTACATAATACATATGCATAGCCTTCAATCGTCCATTTTCATCTTTCGTCGTGTTTGCCATATGAACTGTCTTTTCGTTCGCCAACACCTTGCTTTCGATGTTCACAAACTCTTCATTCCATCTGACAATTGTTGCAACTTCGACTCCACGTTCCACTATATACTACTTACAAAAAACCTGTAAGTAGCGTCCACTACCTCAGTACCTAATGATTCGAGTATCTTCTATGAATCAAAGTGTGAATAGAGAAGTTCAAGAGTAGAAACGGTTTAAATAGCGCTTTATCTAAAAAATGTCAGTAAATGAGTTATAAGTGATGAAGTAACTTATACAAAGGTATTTCCATACCTCAGTTGAATTAGACAAAACATGGTTTCTCTTTCCCACATACTGTATTCTGTAAATATAGTCAGTTTATCATCAAGTTTTGGAAATTCCTCAAAATCATTTACTATATTGTTATGACCTTGGTGTCTGGCTTTTCTATCACACGAATTATCCATCAATCAGAATACGACTTGTACGAACCTTCACACTATGCCAACCAATGACGTTCAACCGGTGTGGGCAGTCTAGCGCCTTATTGGTACTAGGTCCTTCTAGCCCGTCTGCTTGAGTCCAAAACACAATACCAGCTTCCGCAATATGAATTGAATCGTTTATTTCAGACATACTCGGTTTATATATCAATCAGACAGACTACAACGTACCATAAAATAGAAAATAATATGGGTACACAAATAAGCCAAAAAGTGGCTGTGAATGTGGGAGGCAGTAGTTAATAAACTGAACATAGCTTAAGAACCGTAAATCGTACAATAATGAATTATAGGTCAAAATAAAGCTTATAATATGGGGAATATAAATATACATAATGTAATTATTGAATAGTTATACAATAAGAATATTAGTCCATTAATAGTCCTCGGAAGTTACCCGTAGTTTAGTCTTCGCTCAGATATAACATATATATTATATTTAGAGGCAGTTAAACGAAGTTAAAATTCTGCTATTGACAACAGCAATGCTTTTTTGTGAATGTTAACTCCTCAGAATATTGATTTTATACCCCTAACACTTGTTTCTTATTCATAATGTTCTTTACACTGTAGCTCATTTTTTCTCTTAAGGATTGCTCTTATTTAAAAATGTACCATCTATTATAATATACTGCTTAATATTTAGCTTATCACTGATAAACGATATCAAGTAAGTTGTGGTTCATGTTTTGTTATCATGTCCGGTATGTAGTGGTTACTTATCTCTCTCTTTCTAAAATGTGCATGTGACTTTCTAATGTTCATATTATACATATTGTCAATTTTACCTAGGGATTCTAATGTTCATTATCCTAGTATAACTAGTTTCTTTGTTGTTTACCCAGTATCTTTATATCAGTGATATTTTTGCATTATATATATATATATATTCTGTTCAGTCTTTCTCCTCTTTTGAAATATTTTATGTTGCTCGTTAGTGCGTCAGTCATTCAACTGAAGTTTTTCTTACATGAATATCATACTTGTAAATAGATGCTCGCTTGCATCATGCTAATGAATGAATTATTCATACTGTGACTAATGAACAGGAGGACCTCATCATTTAGTTGAAGAAATTATATTGTTCGACTAATTTTTTTGTCAGTCATAATCAACATAGAGCCTGGTACAAATGTTCATTGGTCCAATTTACCATACTACATTAGCTTAATGAGATGAGATTTATAAGATCGATAGGAAAATAATAGAAATAATATATTAATGGTGATGACGAGATGTTGAATATGGAGAATATTCATTTAAAAGACAGAATAAGAAAGTATATATGAAGGTCATTGGAACTGGAGATCTAGAGTAAGGTAAATTGTGTATACATTTGCTTCATTGTAGCTAATTCTGAACTATATCAACCAACGTCTCCAACTACTGATCTCGGCTACTACACCGTCACTAGCTAGAGAGTCTACATCCACAAATATGGCTCAGTTCAACAGTCAATAGGTTCATAGACTGATAACACGTTCCAGTTTGGCTACTTCTAACTTTTATTGATTTACTCGTACATCGGTTAACTAATAGTTTAAAACCTACTAAATCTACGATTTCTTGCCTTTATGGTCTTTATTAAATTCATAATATAAACTAATACTTCGTTAAAAGATTACCAAAGATTCAATAGAAATGAAAATGTTAATATTTCAACGCAAGTTGACTAGCTGCATGCTTTAGTTGATACTCATTATAATTTGACAATTCTGATTATTGTTGTAACGATTTTCTGTTTACTTTTCTTTCCCTTTATTCAACTGCATTAATATTATTGAGCATGTGTACAGTACGAATTATGTAAATGTTTTTTTTTGTTTTCTTGTTCAATGTACAAATATCCTTGTACCCATCTTACTTGACTTTGTTTTGGTATTGGTCACTTATTTTAGGTTAATCCTTATTTATATTAATGTACTGATAATCATCGGAATTGCACTTTATCTCTGGTTTTAGATATTAGTAGCTATGTTATTATATGTAAATTTACATTTTTAAAAATCTTAATGATTAAAGTAAATTAGCTTCATATTATCTTCCGGGGATCATCTGGTTCGAGACTCTTCAGGAAAATAATATATATCTAAGAACTAGAAATATGTCATATTTTTTCCTTAGTAATATTTACTTTCTCTTAGTCCATTATAATCCAAGAATTTAAAAGCAATTAAATATTCCTAGTTTACTCTTTGTAAAATTGATAACCTTTCTTTGGTTCCTCTCCTTAGCAGGCTTTTATAGTTTATTGTATATGTTTTGCCATTGTGATGTAACTAGAGGCAATTATCCGGAAACCCTTAACCTAAAGAGTTTCATCAGCCCTGGTAAGTTGGTGTTTGATAACATCTTGGAACGGATCTCGAAAGCTCTCTTGACTTTTGTCAACCAAAGGATGGATGTATTGCTCAGCAGTTCCCTCTGTATTACCCTATTGAATCGGAACGTGGTTTATGAATTTTGAACAAATAAGTAGGCTTTCGGCTTTTATTTATGGGTATCTTCGAAACATTGCTCATGTATTATGCGACGATATAATGAACAATGAAACCTGTAGGCATAAGATACTGGGTAAAAATGCCAAGTCAGTTGGTGTTGTAATTACATAAACGCCGGCAAAAAATGAATTTACGCGTTTTTAAATGTTTGTACTCAGGGTAATTCGTTTCAGTTATTGAGTAGTTTGTGGAAAACTAGATGTATCATCTTTGAATTTCATCGTCGTTACTGACAAGCTGTTCTGGCATGATTAGTGTTGTACAATAAATCAATTCGGTTTTAATCCATCCTATGTCTTCTTTAATCATTGATTGGATTCCAAGGAAACTAAGAGTTAAGGCGTCAATTCATTTCGTTTTTTCAGCCTGTGACATCAGCAATCTTTTTATTTGATTGTGAAATTCTCCTACTGAAACGTTACCTGTTAGGTGATAGACTGTTGTTGTTATGTGCTGTACTCTTAAGCGTCAAGTAAATTCATTGAGAATTGTTGATTGAAAATGTGAATCACGGTCTTTGGTAGTGGTTATTGGGATGCCGATGTCTGAAATATAGTGATCGAGAAATAGTGAAGCAGTTAATTTTTTGGATGTCATTTGCGTCTATCTGATGAAACAATTCATCACAGCAAACATGTGCGTTAATGATTTAGATAGTGGAAGAGGGCCGAAAATTTATATGTTGAGATGTTGAAAAGGTCTATCAGATGTTTAAAACTTCCCAGATGTGATGAATTGTGTTGGTGGGCCTTGCTTCGTTGA